GGGGATTCATTTTTAGAATGAGTATAATAATTTTTACTTGGCTCTGTGCGGTTGATTTCAGGGCTGTGATGGTTCAGTTCTTCTAGATTCAACATCCTCCATTGACAGCGAAAAGAATGCAAATGCTAACTTCCAATCTGCTCGAGGGTTTGAAGTGGTGGATGAGATCAAGAAGGCTGTGGACGAAGCATGTGGAAAACCAGTTGTTTCTTGCGCAGACATATTGGCTGTTGCAGCTCGTGACTCTGTTGTTGCGGTTAGTAATAATATCTAATTAAATATATAACCCCAATTTCTACACGTAATTAAAAAGTGTGCTTAAGTTTGACTTGAATTAATCTACAGAAATTTTTATATGAATTATGTGCTTGCAAAATGCAGCTAGGTGGGCCAACATGGAAGGTGAAACTGGGGAGAAGAGACTCCACTACAGCAAGTCGTGAAGCAGCAGATGCAAACATTCCGGCACCATTTTTTAGCCTCTCTGAACTCATCACCAACTTCAAGAACCATGGTCTTGATGAAAAGGACCTTGTTGTTCTTTCTGGAGGCCACACCATGGGGTATGCGCGTTGTGCTACCTTTAGGGACCGTATCTACAATGATTCCAACATCGATCCTAACTTTGCGAAAAATCTAAAATACATTTGCCCTAAGATTGGTGGTGGTGACTCCAACCTTTCTCCTTTGGACCCAACTGCTGCACAATTTGACAACAACTATTACTCTAATTTGGTCCAAAAGAGAGGGCTTCTTCACTCTGATCAAGAACTCTTCAATGGTGGTTCTACTGATGAACTTGTCAAACAGTTCAGCTACGATACTGAAGATTTCTACCAAGACTTCGCGAATTCGATGATTAAGATGGGAAATATTCAGCCCCTCACTGGGAATCAAGGTGAAATTCGTGTTAACTGCAGGAAAGTAAACTAATTGGTTAAGAAAATTACGTAAACACATGGAATAATATTTGAGGGTGTGACAGCGTTGCATAATTACGAATGAATGTATCCTTTACCGTAAATTGTCTGTTTTCAAATTGATTCTAAAGATGTGTAGAACTTCTTTGCATCATGAGTTATCATTAAGATTCTTCATAAATAAAGAAAGAAATTATTACATTATTTAACTCGGGAATAATGCAGCACGCGCGCGGAGATTGAAGAACATCAAAACAGTTCCAATGCAAAACAAAGAAAATAAAAAATAACTTTGATACTTGTCACAATTATTAATTAATATATTATGTTATCATTGCATCATCGGCATGGACAATCTTGACACTCGTCACAATTATTATAATTTATTCTACCATGATTTCCATAGTCAACCACGTGCCACCAAATAAATCCAAACATGGAATTGATGTGATATAGCTTAGATTACAATTTAGTTTGATTGGGGATAACAACAAACAATGATAGCTGAAGGTTCAGGGCCTTGAAAAATATACAATTTATTTCACAGACGCTACATACAAACATTGGTTTTGGATGATTTATGTTGTAATCTCACCACCAACATTTCGTGATATACCGTGAAACTGTCATGTAACTTACTTGCTACTTTAAACTGTCATGTGGAGTGTGGAATTTCATTGATATTTCTTCTAAACGTCAATAGTTATATAAAATGAAGTTGATACGTTACGTATCTAAACAGATGAGCATGGATTTACAACCACACAACTCTCCAAATGTGTCAATTTTTGTCTTTCCTTCTGATAAATGTTGTGTTCATTATTGGCAGTTCATAACTCCTCAATGGAATTTATTTACAAAATAACCAGAATTATGATGTTGAATTATCATTAATATCCTTCAACATGAACTACCAAATTAGGATCACCCAATTAAAGTCTTTTTCTCGGACTTAAATTTCTGGAAACTGTTAGATGCTAATAGTGGGGTCACTATTAAATGAAGAGAGGCGCGATGGAGTTCCCCCTAGTCTCCTTTTTTGGTGTGCTTTAATTAAATTCCATTTATGACAAAAATGATGTCATATTTTACTTATCAATTTACTTTTATATATTATAAATTGATATGTACACCTCAATGTCAGTTTTTGTATATTTATATTTTCTTTTTTTTTTACAATATGTATTGTATAAAATATCTCCTGCTGTTTTTTATTTATTTTAAAAAAATATATAGTATCTTCAACTCTCTTTTTTCGCTATATCATCTCAAATTGCTAGTTTTTTATATTTAATCTTATTAGTTACTTATTTTTCCAATATATTCTGTTTTACTTCTATTTCAGAATTAAATTTCTTTTTTATAGATGTCAATATATAACTATTCATTATAAAAACAATCCATTTATTATAATTTGTTATTATAAAAATAAACATTTATTATAATTTATTATTATAAAAATAAACATTTATTATATACAATACTAAAATATTAAATATTTATTATAATTTTAAATACATTTTACTATTACATAAATCATTATTTGTAACACTTTTTTCATAATAAAATATTGACATCACAAAATACATATGCCATTTTTTTTACCATCTGACTTTTTTTTGAAAAAAAATTATTATTACAAAAGTGTTATAGTTTCATGACAAACCATGAATTAATTTTAAAAACCCTTTCTGGTAAAAAAAATATGAATCCATTTTAAAAATATTATTTTTTTCACAAATTAAACAATTTATTTTATGTCAAAAATGGTGAGATCACTTTTCACTTCAAGTGAGATGTTCACATATTAACTTTAATTATCTTGAGATGCTCGATTATCACATGAAGTGAGATGTTGACTACTTTGAATTTGATTATCTTGAGATGTTCAATTAAATATATATTATTTCTCACTACTACAAAGCTTTCAACGTCGGTTTGGAAAGCTTTCAACGTCGGTTTAATAACAGAGCGTTGTATCGGCGACGTTGAAAGTCGTAACTTTCAACGTCGGTTCAAAAACTGACGTTGAAAAATACACTTTAGATAGCGGTTCTAAGGGAACCGCTATCTAATGTCGACTTTCAACGTCGGTTTTTAAGAACCGACGTTGAAAGTATGATTTTTTAAATTAATAATTTTTATTTATTTACAACCCCTTTACCCCCTTTTATTTATCTAGAAGTCTCCCCTCTCTTCCTATTATATTTTTATTAGGTTCTCCATCTCTTTATATTATATTTTTTAGAAGTTTTTTAATTTTTAAGAGAATTGTCATTGGCGGGATTCAAACCCGAGTACTTTAGAGTTGGAGGCTGATACTCCAACCACTAAACTACTTGAATTTTTTGATAATAACTTACGAATAAATTATATTTATATACAAATAAATATATATCCAGTGTAAATATATACAAATAAACCCAGTACTTTCATCTTCTTCGCACTGATAATCCTCCAAAATTTTGTGTTCTTCATGCTGACGACCCTCCCAAATTCACCTTCCGCTCACAATTTCACTCCCTCTTTTCGACCTTGTACCAGTGACTATCCACCATTGTTCGAGTTTAATCACCTTCGTCTCTCCAACCCCAATCCTCCACCCTTCTATTCAGACTTCCAAGATCTTTAACCCAAGCATGCATGACCTGACCTCAAGCTTGAAATCCAACCCAATGACCTTGAATCTCAAATCCGAGTGACCAAAACACCCAATCAAAACACTTTACAAAAATGTATATCAATTAAAACAGATTTGTTTTAAGCTGATACGTACGACAACGTTTATATCAATTAAAACACTTTACAAAAATATTCTAAGTTGATTTAATCGATTGTTTCGCGATTCAATCGATTGAAATACTTGCAAAACTTTCTCGTAAAACTTTTCAAGTAATTTTAACTGATAAAAATAAGTTTTAATCGATTAAAACGCATGTGCAGAAATTGTTTTAATCGATTGAAACGAGATTTAATCGATTAAAATAGTTCTGATCGGTCATAACCGCTATCTAAAATGTATCTCGCTTGAGCGACACCATTCTCGCTCGAGCGAAAAGCCCCCTGCACAAAATTAGCATTCTCGGGTTGCATTTCGCTTGAGTGACACTGTCCTCGCTCGAGCGAAATAATATTCTGATCATCATAAAGTCGACATTAGATAGCGGTTCCCATAGAACCGCTATCTAAAGTCGACATTAGATAGCGGTTCCCATAGAACCGCTATCTAAAGTCGACTTTAGATAGCGGTTCCCTTAGAACCGCTATCTAAAGTCGACTTTAGATAGCGGTTCCTTATAACCGCTATCAATAAGTAAAAATAAAAATAAAAAAAGACTTTCAACGTCGGTTCATCTAAACCAGACGTGGAAAGTGTTTTCTACGTCGGTTAACTAAGAACCGACGTAGAATGTGTCCAACATTCGACTTTCAACGTCGCTTTTTAACCAACCGACGTTGAAAGTGTATTTAACGTCGGCTACGACTTGAACCGATGTTAAATGCCGACGTTGAAAGCATATTTTGTAGTAGTGTCTCTTTAATTGAAAATCTCAGAATAATTGAATTTAAAATACTAAACATTCTACTTTACATGGTAATTAAGTTTAAATTAAGTTTCAAGATGTATCATCTGTAAAAAAAATTAATACATGGAAGTATGAGCATAAATAATTTACATAAATTGAAAATATAATTCATACATTTTAAATTAGTGAATTTAATCAATTAGAAACATTGTCTTTATCATATTTTTTGGCAAAAAAAAACTCATAATCCAATATCAAAATAAAATGATATAATAATGTTTTTGTCTGTTATGATATCAAAATATTAGCAATCATACTTTTCTTTTGCTAGGTGTTGGTTCCTCAATACCTCGAGCACACGCTGCAACAAAAAAAAAAAAAAACGAAGGTCTCTGCTTTTCAACACAACACAGAGTACCAATAATAGGATGAGATTTTCTCATCACATCACATACAACATTCACAACAAGTTCATCTTAGAGAAGGAGAAACGACCAACTCTCTTTTCTCTTCCAATCTTAGAACCTTTCTTCTAACCCCATCACCTTTTCCTATGTCTGATCCAACGAGTTCACGGTTTTCTACGCGGTTATTCGCTATCGTTCTCCCGGTCGCTGTAGCTGCGATTCTCTTCCAGATCGAACCCTTCGATCCGGTTATGTTGCCGGTTCGCCTGGACCAGTCCACCGTGGTGGTTCCAACACGTAACGGCCACCTGCGAGTTGGATCTGAAGTGGTGGGCAAGGGACACTTGGATGGCCCCGAAGACTTGGCCTTCGACCCCCAGTCACGTGTTGTTTACACCGGCTGTGAGGATGGGTGGATCAAGCGAGTCACGGTGAACGACTCGGCGGTTGACTCGGTTGTTGAAGATTGGGTGAACACAGGAGGAAGACCACTGGGTCTAACTTTGCTACACAACGGTGAACTCATTATTGCTGACGCGGGAAAGGTATCGATCGCTAAAGATAGAGTTTTATGCTTTTATTGAAAATAAAAAATAAAAAAATTGGGATGTGAAATTTCAAAGTTTAATCACACAAAAAAAAGGTTTAAAACTTTTATTTATATAACTTTTTAATCTATTTTAACTCTTGTTATTCAAAATTGTAGAGACGGTACATGTATCAAATTATAACTAATAATTTCTAAATATAGTAAAATCTCAATAATTAATAAAATCAAATTTGTTACAAGACAAAAATTGAATGCAATAATTGATTACTTTAAGTGATAGTACTTGATTTCTAACTCGAGTTACACGAGCAGGTCTTATTCATTAGATATTTGTCATCATTTACTAACTTTTCTTATCATTTTGTTTTCTTTTCATCATATTGCTTTTCATGTTTTTTTTTTTTTTTTTTGCCTTACATATTTCTTCTCAACTTCTTATTCGTTAATTATTTCGGGTATACTTTAATAATTTATAACTAATCACACATTGTTCAGGTTTTTATTTAGTAGTATTTTGCATGTTCCGCGATCCACCCCGTATACATGTTTTTAATGTTGTATATTTTTTTTTTTAATAATATCCTTAAGTGAGCACAAGGTAATGATTTTTTTTTTTTCTATTTAATAAACCTTCTTTTCTTATTAAAGAAAAACTATAAGTTCTGGTTATAGTTGTTTTCCTTTCAGAGGTATTATTAATAAGATGCAGAAATTCGTTATGCATTGGATGCATAAAAGAATATGTAAATAATTAAGGTTTGTGCTGACTTATTTTTGTTAGATTTTTTAACCATATCTTGGTTTGCCTTGCTTAGATGAATAAACTGGACAAATGGCATGACTCTTATTGATAATGTAAGAAATAAATTGTTTCAGCTAGAAAAGCAAAGTGAAAAATCTTATTAATACAAAGAAAAGCTTAAACTTGTTTTCAATTTACTTTCAATACAAATATTCTCAAGAGAAGGAAATCCTACTAATGATGCAGGGATTGCTGAGAGTGTCTAGTGAAAAGGAGATCGAGCTGCTGGTAGATGAGTTTGAGGGCTTAAAATTCAAATTAACAGATGGCGTTGATGTAGCAGAAGATGGTACTATTTATTTCACAGATGCATCACACAAATACCCTTTGAAGGATGCTGTCTTAGACATCTTGGAAGGGAAGCCTAATGGCAGATTCTTCAGCTATAATCCCGCAACAAAGAAGACAACCCTGATTGCCCAAAACCTCTACTTTGCCAATGGGGTTGCAGTTTCACCTGATCAACAATTTGTGGTCTTCTGTGAATCTACCCTGTGAGTTTTTCCTGGCTTAAGCTACCTTCAAGTTGTGGTCTATTTTAATCCTTGAATTTTATCATGTTAAATTAGTCATATTTTACTTAATCGATTAATAAGCATTTGGCATTTTATGTGGGTTTTTTCCTTGCTTGCAGACGTCATAATTTCCCAAAAATAGTATACTTTTACTTGTATTAATTTGTGAATTGAGTAAAAGATGATTGATATAATCAATTTTTGTTGAAATTTAGAAGTTACATTATCATAGTGATCCTATTTAAATGGGTAAGTAAAGGCCTATTTCAAACGTGCTATTGTGCAGGATGAGATGCAGTAAATATTACGTACAGGGCCCTAAAAAAGGGTCCATAGAGAAGTTCTGCGACGTACCTGGTACGCCTGATAACATTCATTACGTTGGAGAAGGGCAGTATTTGGTTGCAATATTCACGGTAATGTAAACCACCAACTTCATTAATAATCTGAACATCAATTATTTGGCCACCAACAACCATTCTGTTTTTATAGAAAATAAAATTAATTATATCCAAAATACGTATTTTTAAAAACCATAGACTTCGTGACATGACACCTAAACTAGACTATCATTTTCCAATGGAAAAATGAAAAGATGGATGCTTTTGTCTAGTCTGCTCATAAATGCTTTTGTTCCTTACTGGCAGGCCTTTACTCCTGAATTGGATTTTGCATTTAGATATCCTTTCATTAGGAAGGTTGCAGCAATTGTAACAAAATATGTGGTGAATCTACCTATCTCGAAGAATGGAGGATTCCTAGTGGTGGATTTAGAAGGAAAACCAACTGCACATTATTATGATCCCAAACTATCATTGACTAGTGCGATTAAAATTGGGAATCATATATATGCTGGTTCTATTGAATACCCATTTGTAACGCGTTTTGACATTGAGAAATATCCTGCTCTCCCCACAGTTTGAACAACAGTGAAAATATGCAGTGTTATCTGTTATATTTTTTATAATAAAAGTGGAATTTCTTGTAGCAACTGTTTCCAATTTATTATTATTCTCTTTATGAACTTGAACATTTAACTATACAATTTATCACAACCTTGGGGTCCAGAAAGGCTTCCCAAAGTTTTGGTTTTCTCCCTCAGAACATACTTCTGTATCTTTCCGGTTGAAGTTTTTGGCATGTCTTGAAAAATAACTGTTTTAGGAGCCATGTAATGGGGCAAATGGTCCCTGCAAAAGTTGATTATGTCTTGAGCGTCTACATCAAACCCCTCTTTCAACCTCACAAAAGCACAAGGAGTTTGGCCCCAATGATCATCAGGCCTGGCAACAACTGCAGCTTCAAGAACTGCTGGATGGCTATACAAAACCGTTTCTACCTCAACTGAGCTAATATTCTCCCCCCCAGAGATTATTATGTCCTTCAACCTGTCCTTCATTTCTATGTAACCATCAGAGTGTTTCACAGCTAGATCCCCACTATGAAACCACCCATCTTTGAAAGCTTCTTCTGTTGCTTTCAAATCCCTGAAATATCCACTCATCACTGTGTTTCCTCTAAACATTACTTCTCCCATTGTTTTGCCATCAGATGGAACACTTTCCATTGAGGCAGGATCTTTCACATCAATTTCCTCCAAAGCCACATGCGGGACCCCCTGCCTTGCTTTCATCTTTGATCTATCTTCAGGGGGCAACAAGTCCCACTCAGGCCTCCAAGCACAGAACGTGCCTGGACCATACGTTTCTGTGAGGCCATACAGGTGAGAGATGCTAAACCCAATCTCCTCCATCTTGGCAAGGATCTGTGGCGGTGGAGGTGAACCTCCTGTCAGCACCACCACCTTCTGATTGAGTGGCTTTCGGTCGGTCAATGCTGAGTTCACGATCATGTTCAGCACTGTTGGTGCTCCTGCCATGTGTGTCACCTTATGCTGAGTAATATTGTCAAAAATGTTCTTCGGAGAGACCTTCCTAAGACAAACATTGATCCCAAATTGTGACGCTACACCCCAAGGGAGGCACCACCCATTGCAGTGGAACATTGGAACATTCCAAAGATAAACAGGAAAAAGGTCCATTCTAAAGAGTAGAACAGTTGCTAGAGAGTTAAGATAAGCACCCCTGTGACTATAGACAACTCCTTTAGGTCTAGATGTAGTGCCTGAGGTGTAGTTTATGCTTATAGGATCCAATTCACTATGGGGTCTCACAATGTCAAAACCATTGTGCCCATCAGCCAGAAGCCTCTCATACTCGTAACTAACTGATGTAATGTCAATGGTAGATGGGCAATCAGAGTCGGCAACTAGAACTAAAATTGGCAATTCTCTGGCTATTTTGCCTAGCAAGTCCAAAGCTCCTCGTGCAATTTCAAGTAATTGGTAGTCTACAAAAAGGACCTTTGCTTGTGAATGCTCCAGAAGGACTGAAACCATAGCTGCATCTAGGCGTGAGTTAAGGGTGCAAAGAATGGCTCCAGCCATTGGGACAGCAAAATGTAACTCATACATTGCTGGGACGTTAGGTGATAGGGTAGCAACCTGTGTAGAAACAACATGGAATAGCATCACTAATTCACTTACCTCAGGATGTGCTAAGATGCTACCATATATTTGTTACCTAGTACAAGTTTCATCAATACAAATTAGAGTTGTTAAAAGTGCAGCACATTTTGCAGAAACATGTGAGCACAGAAGTGCTGATGAAAAGTCAAGTAGCATCCAGAAAGTGGTGATATCTAAAAGCTACAAATAGAACATCAAAAGAAAATTGCTCCATATTAAATTCTAAAATAGTATGAGAAACTATCCGGTTAGTGCTAATATTTAGATTATCTGCAGATTTTCTCAATTCTTATAATGAAGCTTCACACCTCGAGCAAAACCTATTTCTCCAGCTCCCAGCATTTCAATTATATACTCTGTCCATTCTTCAAACAAATCTTTCATTTCAATTCAAAACTTTCCAGTGTCGGCTGTCAATTACTCTTCCAAATTTCCACCGTAGCCACCTCACCTAAGCTGATCACGACAATCTAAATATGGCATTATTACGTTTTTTATCATTAGAAATATTGCTTCTTTCTAAAATTGGTTTCTATTCAAATTTTATTTGTTTTAGCCACTAGTTTTTGAGAGGCTAAAAATGCTTGTTTCTACTAATTAATCAAATTAAATTCATACAAAGACTTAAAAAATCATACATTCAGTCCCTCAATAGTCACCAGTATGAAACCATCTTAACTCCGGCCACAGTATGAAACAAGACCATGATTTTATCAATACTACATAGCATTTATCAATACAGGTTCATGTCACTAAGGGCGTGGTTCATTTCAATTTTCAAAATCTATTTTTACCTTTCGAAATCATGAATTGATTTTGCAAAACAAGCACAGCTACATATGTGAACCAGGACCAAGCTCACTCCATCTAATTCATCCAACAACTAGAGTCGCACGTCGATGAAGATATAGACAAAACATCGCTTAGTTTATTTGTTATTTATATTTTTAAAACACTTGTTTTGAAAATAATTTTTAAAACTAAAAAACATAAGAAAATTAATCAGGTCCGAAAAATTCAGGATCAGACTCGATCTTCTAAAATAAACAACTCATCTTAGAGAGAGAGAGTGTGTGTGTGTGTGTGTACTATACAAATTTAAAATAGAATATGAACCGTTAATTTTCTCATCAGCAACGTATATTACTTACTTTATCCATTATTTTATAAATCAAACAAAAGCTTCCACAGTTCATTGGATGAGAAACACGCACACGCGTCACCATAATAAAACAAGAACAAAGATAAAGTGCGAGGAAAGGCAAAACTCACCACATCGCCGCGAGAAATTCCCAACTGGGTCAAAGCAGAAGCGAGTTTCAAGCAGCGTTGATGGGTTTCACCCCAGTTATATTCCAGAGAGCCATACACGAGCGAGGTTCTGTCTCTGCATACCTTCGCTGCTCTCTCTAGGAAGCTGATGGGAGTCAAAGGAACAAAATTCGCAGAGCAATGAAAAAGACCCTCCATCGATTCCCACGAACCCGGATCATTGTCCTGCGAAAAGCTACAAAATTTGCGCGAATGACGGTGACATGAGAAGATGCGAGGTGATCTGAAAAGTCTGAGAGAACGAGTCCAGAACATGGTGACTTTGTTTAGATGACAATGAATGGCATAGTTGATGGTTCACTGAATGGATAAGAGTGCCAGCTGATTCTGATAGCGAAGAAGAGTTTACCTAAAAAATTGGATGCAAATGATAGTTGGGTTCACGTTCAAAAATTTCTGTTGTATTTTAGTGTTTTTTCTGGGGAGAGAGTAGAGAGTTACAGCGTGTAATTGTTGCCTTTGTGGGCACGTAATGTACACTTTTTTATTATTAGAAGGGTATTGACGAAAGCATCAATGAATGGAGTCAGTGTGTGGGGTCACCGATGAACACATTTATTTACAAACTGAGATTTTTATATCTTTACATTATATATTCCTCTTCGACTAAAACATTTTTCATTTAGGAGTATCTAATAATAACCCTTAAAATTCATGATTATCTTTATTCTCTAAAACTTGCATAGTTACTAGCTTATGTCAATAAGACATAGTACATATCCTCTACATTGATGAATTTCAATACAAGAACCTTCTTAATTCATAAATTTACCATCAATCTTATTATGCTAGTACAACTCATTCCTTAGATTGGTACAACTTGTTTACTCAGAAAACATCAACAAGTCTATAGAATAAAGAAGTATCATCATTCCCACACTTTCCGGACATACGATTGACACGTAATCATTCACATTTAAAAAATATTGATTTATCTCATATTTTTTAAAACACCTTGGACGTTTTTTGAATATTATTATGAGTAAAGAGTGAGTTAATATTTATTTTTTGTCAAACACTTCCTGTACACTACTATAATAAGAAAGTAAAATACATAAAAGAAAACAACTTTATATCATATTGTTAAACATCAATTAAGGTTCACAGAAGATAAAGACGAGATTAACAAATTAAATGACATAGGTACCCATGAACTTGGGAAAAGCATCAAAGTGGTAATTTTTTTAAAAGTACATAGGTGATAATTTTTCAAATTATCCTATATCATCACAAATACCCATTTAAAACCTTTATTTCTCCTTTTTTTCATTACATCAAATTACTTTTCAAGTATACATTTTTCTTTATTTCCCTCTCTAACTGTAAAGTAGCCTTGGACATCGTTGCTTCTTTATCCTAAACCTAAACGTGTACCAAGTTCATATGAAACAATTTATGCTCTTCATAATCAGAACAATAAAATAATTGCTAGGTCGTAAATAACGCTAAGTCACGGCTTTTAAATAGAAGGGAAACAATTATCACTTTCTCTACAATTCTTCAGGAAAAAAAAAGAATTACATCGTTTTCTAAATGGCATAAACTTTATTCAGGATCAAAACTTGCTATTTCCCACTTGATGGGAGCAAAACAATGCTGGTAAAATTAGTTAGCAAAGAATCTACGAGTGTGATTTGATTTGGAAAATCTCAATCTAAAGCATTTATGACTGCATCCACAACCTCTTGGGTGGTGCTTGTCCCTCCAAGATCCATTGTTCGGTATTTTCCCTCCAGAATGACATGTTGCACAGCAGTTTCCAAACGGTCAGCAAACGCAGGAAACTGAAGATGCCTAAGCATCATAGCAGACGAGAGAAGAAGTGCCACTGGATTCGCAATCTTTTGCTCTAATATTTGTTCACTGCCAACATTTCCTGCTGAAGCACCTTGTTCAAATACAGCGTGCTCGTCTCCAACATTACCTGCAAAAACGACATCCATGGTTTGTGATTGTCAAGCAAAATTCATATTCGAGGGCATAGAATGATTTCCCAATAAATATTTCCTCACTAGAAAACTCAAGAGCGATCGTCTTGATCCTACCGTCCCATCACAGACACTAAAATCACCGTTCCATTGATATCACCATTACCAAGTGTGCCAATCGAAGCTGTCGCCTATAAGAATCTACTTCCACTTTGATAGAAGTCCTATATGATTGAAGAATCTAATGCAATAAGATGCACACTTATTTCCAAAGTTTTACAATGTGTAAAATAGCTCCCTAGAAGAATAATGATCTTGATACAATAAACTCGGCCTAGTGTTTACAAGTTCTGAGCATTTGTCAAACAATTGATAAAAGGTAGCAACAAACAAGGATCTTTTTTAAAAGGGTAAAATCATGTGAGAGCACTGAAGTTAAATGCAGAAGTAACTAACAACCATACCTCCTGGCATGACTCCAGTGCCTCCAGCAATGCCTGCTGCAGTATTTGCGATCAGATTTCCATAAAGATTTGGGGTCACCTACAAGTGGAAACAGAACACGTGAACTTCAGAAACACTTGGTATTAAATATCAGAAACAAATTAAGATAAGTGTTTTGCTTGACAGAACCATCAAGACATGAGGTTATTGAGCAACCCTTTGCAATGATTCTCACTTATACCAACAGATAATAAAGGAAATTTAATCTATCCCTTCAAATCAAACAAAGGACACACACATCCACCTATTATATATTTGGATGGAGATGTCTAGGGAGAACGGGATTGGAGGATTATTTTCTAAAGAGAAATTTTATTTTCACGTCAACATCCTTTTCTAAAAAAAACAAAGAAATGATTAGTGAAAGTTGAATGAAAATATCTTATGTTATTGCTCTTCTTTGAAAAAAATAAAATAAAAGATACTCCTACCCCACTGGCGGACCTACATTGGAGTAAGGGTGGGCAGTTGCACCTCATTTTTCCTAAAATTGAAATTATATATGTAGAATTCTTATTTTTTGCACCCCAAAATTTATATATTGATCCCATTATCAAGTGATAGAATTATAGGTTAATATAGGACAAGGACTCTTTCGGATGTGGAGACGTTATTTATACACACGTATATATATATATATATATATATATATATATATATATATATATATATATATATATATATATATATATATATATATATATATATATATATATATATATATATATATATATATAGACAAGGTAAATGCAGCGCCATTTTGCTAAAGAATATCTGAAAACGCCGATGAACCAAAAACCAATAAATGTTTTTCATCAAAAAATGACACTAAAGTTTAAACAACCTTGCAAAACAAAAAAGTGTACACCTCTGCGTTTAATCCACAAATACATCAGGCAAGGTTATAGAAGTGCATTAATAGTTGTGAAGCAGGAACGGTTGTAAATAAACATACCATCACATCAAACTGTTCAGGCTTTGAAACAAGCTGCATGCAGCAGTTATCCACAATAATTTCGTTATACTTGATTGCCTGGTATTTTGTGGCAACCTCTCTACAAGATTCCAAAAATAAACCATCTGCAAGCTTCATAATATTTGCTTTGTGCACAGCAGTCACCGTCTTTCTGTTGTTCAGGTAAGCATACTCGAATGCATAATTAGCAATTCGCTCTGAACAGAACTTCGTTATTACCTACCAAAATATTAGGATAGGATGAACCACAAACAAACCCAGAATGCATAACGACATGACCAAAACGTCATTACTTCATGATTTGGCAAACTATTTCCAGAAAACAATGATTTTGTTTTTCAAAAGGCCACTAAGTAAAAGTGATTATTGATCTAAAACAAATTCATACACACTAATTTTATAGAATAATAGTTTTTACATTAAAATAATTTCTCAAAAAAGGATAACAATAAGATCTATTTCTCAAAAATAAAGCCAATCACCACAAAACTAATCACTTAAATTTACCTAAAAAAAGTTACAAATAAATCATTTCCGTTGTCATGATCAAACATCAACTTAAGGAATCATATTACAAAAGATTGAGATAATCAAGTACAGAGAATGTCTCTATTTTGATAGAAAACTAAAACATTTTTGACAGTTTCTATGCTAGAAATTCTCAGAAATACACTAGCTTGTACCCAAGTAGATTCTCAGAACTGGTTGAAAAGTTTCTTCAAAAAACATAAAAGACAAAAAAGAGATACACTTTAGTTTATGAAAAAACTTATTTCACACCGTCCAAGATTTTGTCAAATTTCTCCCAGTCTTCCACCTTTTTTAATCTTCTGTAACTAAACTATAATTTATTTAAAAAATATTACACCCATCTCCAAGACATTGGAAAGACTTTTCTGTACAATAATAATAAAAAAAAGAAAAACAGGATTTTGTTGTCGTGTCATGTAATTTACTGGATAATGCATGTGAAAAGTGAGAGAGGCGAACCTTAAGGCTTTCGACGACGCCGGGAATGACCTCGTGTTCGAGACCGGAGTACTCGCCTTCGGTGTTCTCCCTGATGACGATGATGTCGACTTTATCGTGGCGCGTGTGCAAGCCAGGAAGGCTGAAGCAGTTGACGAGGGAGGCGTAGAGATCAAGCTCCTTCCGGAGCTGCACGTTGAGGGAGCTGACGCCACCGCCCATGGGGGTGACGAGGCCACCCTTCAGACACACCTTGTTCTTCCGTATCGATTCCAGCACCTCCTGCGGCACCGCCTTCATGTTCCCGTGGACCTTAAACTTCTCAAAGTACACCGGCGCGTGCATTGCCTCCATCACCTGCTCCACCGCGCCCGTCACCATGGGCCCAATACCGTCGCCCGGGATCAGAGTCACCGGGCGCGGCGTCCCATCGCCGGGGCGGTGCATGTAGGTGACGGATCGGGTGGTGATCCGGTTGGGCGAGGAGCGCGAGAGGAGGTCCTTGAGGAGCGGTAGGGATCTTCTGGCCATTGTGGTTGCGTTTGGAAAAGCGAAAATGAGAAAAAGAAATGGAGAGATTAAGAAAATGAGAGAATGGAGAAAAGTCGACCGGAACAGAACCCGGGATGATGGGAAGGACCGGAATTGTAGTGGCTGGCCAGTAAGAAATTTGACTTTACATTTTTTTCATTTTTCTTAATCATCCCAATACTTAATTAAGGAAACTATATTTTACCTTGCCTCCTTTATTAACTTTGCTATGAACTTGTTATCAAGTTTTAGAGACAATTAAGCTTCTAATCAAATGGAATCTAATATTTTATGATTTTTTTTCATTTTTTTAATTATAATATTATTAAATATATTATGATAAAATAATAATTAAATAAGAAGTATATATTTTAAAAACATCATCAATTTATTTTAGTATGTCTTTATATTTAGTTTAAATAATAATATATTTAAATCATATATATTATTTGATTCGTTTAGAAAAAAATATCATTTTTATATTTAAATTTTAATGGTGCATTGATTCAATTTGAGTTTATTTTTAATTAAAAAATAGAAAATTTAATTTAATAGATTGATTTTTTTAAAATAATTAAAAATTAATTTTCTAGCATTTTTTTTATGAAATATTTGAATAAATGTGAAGTATTTGATTAAAACAAAATTCACCATAACCATGGATTATTAATTAATTAACTAATGTATGCACAACAAAATCAAGGGCTAAATAATTTAACTAAATATTTATTGATATAAATATTGTATAAAAACTTTATTTATAGATTATAAATAAGTTAAATTGTTTTTAAAAAAAATAGTAAAAATAGTCCTTATTTATTTAATGGTACAATTGATATGTTTCAAAGTTATATAAATAATTTTTTAATTTAAGAAAAAAAACGTATTTAAATATAATGTTTGTTAAACAAATGCATGATTCAATTAGAACTAATCAAGTATATTAATTAAGTTCTTCTTTTATTTTTTTATATATTAGAAATAAAAAATAGTTTTAATTCAAAAAATAATTTTTTAGGAAATTGTAATATATATTTTAATAAAAACGTAAAAATAAAAAAATTGTTACACCGTGACTCCGTGAGTCTCCTTCCTCCATATATATATATATATATATATATATATATATATATATATATATATATATATATATTATTCAATGATTAAAAAATCATTCTATTAAACAACAAATTATATGAAAAATTGCTTTATTATCTCGCTAAAGAAATCATAAAACGATAATATTCAAAATATCTCAAGAAAAAAATTATAAATAGTAATTTGAACAATAATTTATGTATAAAAATAATAATGATAATAATAATAATAATATATCCACTAATGTGATGGTATACAGTTGAATACCTAATCGAATTTAATAAAATTGACTCATTACAAAAATTGTATGAAAAGTAGCACCGAATGACTTTAAATTCGGATCCCACCTTTTCCAGAGCCGTTGTTTCCCAATGTTGTTACTTTTTCACAAAATACGATTCAATTTATAACACGTGATTCCATGTATGCATATAACCAGAAAGTTATGAATGAACGCCAAACTCCATCGAAAATGGCGCTTTTGCTTGCATGTATCAATCCAACACTTTTCCAATGTTCATCATAAATAATTCTTGCACTCTCTCTCACATCAAACACAACTCCACTATTATACAACTATTTACCCAGTAATAGCCACCTTAAAAAAACACACACTTTCATTTTTCTCTTATCTTTTGCTCTCAATAATTAAGAATCACAATTAAACCCTATAATTTATTATCGTTTTGAGTTTTACATACAAAAATTGAGTTAATAGGAGATAGAGAAAATTTAAATTTTTTCCACTTAAAAAAAATTAGGGAAGGATAATATAATCTTGTTTCAGTTCGTTTATATTTAAATTTAAATTTTAAAATATTAATATTTTAAAAATATTACTTTATCTTTTATATATTTTTTTATTATTATTTTTCTTTTATCTATTTTTAATTCTTTTGTTCTTTTTAATATTTTGTATCAATAAATTTATTATATTATTTTTTTTATGTTTTACTTTTTTACATTTTCTTAATTTCTCTAATTAATTTATTTTTTTCCATCTTTTCAACAAATTTGATAAACAGAAAGTTAATTTTTTTATTATTATTATTATTTTTTTCTAAATATTTTACATAAATATTAATAATAACTAATATTATTCTATTTATAATTTATCTTTATTAGATTTTATTATATCATATTTTTTTGGATTTTATTATTATTATTATTATTTATCATATATCAAATTTTATTTTAATAAAATAATTATATTTTAAAAGATTAAAAAATTGATAATTTAAATTTTTATTATTTTTAACTAATTAAATAAAAATTAATTTTTTAAATATTTTCTTATAAATTATATATTTCATATAAAAACTTAAAAAAAATTAATATATATATATATAATAATATTTGAATATATTACTATAATAATAACAATAATAATATTATAAATATTTAAATATATTATAATAATAGTAATAATATAAATATTTTATATTTATATAAAAATATTAAATATTTTTTATATACATATTTTAATATAAATATAATAAATTAAAATATATATTTAGTTAATAATAATTATACATTATAAAATTAAAAATATTTATTTATATATAAAAATACATAAAAATAGTTAAATTAACTTATTATAAATATAATTTTTTTTTAAATATTAATCCGGAACGAGAAGGAGAATATTCAAAATCAAACAGGGACAGAAATAAAAATTCAATTTCTAATAAGGATCAGGAACAAAACAGAAATAAAACAGGAACAATTAAAAAAAGTCGAGGACAATATAAGACAAAACCCACCCCTTCCATTGCAATGCCTATGTATAAGCATGACTCATCTGAGCTACAAGACCTTGGTTTATCTTCCTGGAAAGATGTCTAAGCATGAAGCTGAGGAAGTCCGTTCTAATAATATTGGTTCCTTTTCTTCTTGGCCTCATCATTTGAAGAAAGTTTTCCCAGTTTATGCCATGCGATTTCCAACCCTGTCTTGGATTCTTCACTTAACAATTCCGAATGTCTTGATCCTATTTGGGATGCTGTGAGAAAATAAGCCTAGTTAGAGGCACCAATACTTTTTTTTCCTGTTTTTTTGGTGCATTATGTTCCCCACCTTCTTCTTTGATTGCATTTTCAAGTCATGCTTACTATGGTAGCGAATTTTAGACTAAAAGGCACAATCAACGGAAAATAATAATAATAATAATAAATGACAATGTTAGATGTATTAAGAAATGATTGTATACAAGAAAATATTGGTGTGACACGACACCCAATGAGAAGAGGATGATAAAAATATGATTAAGGTGGTTTGACCACAAACAAAGAAGATCGCTCAATACAGTAGTGAAAATAGTAAATTGCATGATTTTTAATCGTAAGAAAAGGGAAGTAGGGAGATCAAGAAAGAAATTGGAGGAAACTAAACTAGTGAGATGGATCTCAAGGTGAATAATATATCTAAAAAATTAGACTTTTATTAAATTGAATTGTGTGATTGGTGTAACAAATCTCATATAGGATATGGCTTTTGTTGTTATTATTGTATGCATCTTGGGTGCTAAACTGAGCATTGGTGTGAGTGATTGATAAGTTCTTGACTTGTTTGTTCTGTTTACTCCCACTAATCATAAATTGTGTTTAATTATATGATGAAATATAAAGTTGGATGCTTCATTCTGCATATTTGATGAGTTTTAGGGTGCAGGCAGAAAGGGAGCTGATGAGTTTTAAAATTGGTGAATGTGTGATGATAGCTGCTGGAAGGCACATCCCATACCAGACATTCTCTCTTTTGTTAAATCTCAGAATTTCACCAAATACTCTAACTGCCTTCACATTATATTGTCTTTCAATCACAACTATAACATATGACACAAATTAGAAAAATTGAAAATATATTTATTCAAAAATACAGAAAACAACTACATTCTTAAAAGTATTTAAAAAAAAATAATGAGAATCTATCGTGTGTATAAAAATCTAACATCTTTAACTTATAACTTTAGAAAATTAAAAAATAAATCTAGAACTAGACATCCTTTATAGAAAATGCATTGAAAGATGAGTTTAGTGATCAATGCAAATTAGTTTTATACGGTCTTATAAATATAGATTATTATTAATATAATGTGTCCGATAATTATTATTAAAATTAATTGTCTTATCCTATATCAGTTTAAAACCAGATGATAGTACTACATAACTACTTTATATTTATCCATACATAAACTTTTGGCATCGACTTCGTACACTTCGATTCGATACATAGTCTTTCTCGTCACAAAGCAGATGCCTCCGTTTACCTTATTCTAAGACGAGGCATTTAGGAATTTGGTCATCATAAACAATTAGTTTTAAAAATTTTAAAGGCTGAAAAGTTCTATAAAAGTTAGCTCTTTGTTGTTCCCGTTTTAACTTAAAAAAAGAAGTTTTACATGCTCAAACAATAGCTGTCAAATCAACTTATAACCGACTAACTAAGAACAAGATCCTGCGAAATTTTAACATAATAACTAACAGGAAACTTCCATTTTACCTGGTACCAAAACAGTGATGGTAGACATGGTTTAGGAGATGTTAACAAAAGAGATTAAGATCTGCAGTTCCTGCGGCATGAAAGAACTTATAACTACACATCCTAAAACGTTTGATTCAGCGCAGTAACTACGAGCTAATTTATTCCCTTCTTTTAAGTTCCATTCATGCACAAGGCAGCGGGATAAATATACTCTAACACAACTATTTTCATAACAAAACGGCCAAAGAAGAAAATATAGTTAAGTATAAGATATGTACTGAAAAGACAGCAAAACAAATTATGAAAAATGTTAGTATGAATACGGGATATGTATAGCCATTACTCAAAACAATATCTTCTTCGCTAAGAGTTTCACACATCCACACTTCAATATGTTTCATTCTCATCTGATTTAATGGGAGTACATTCCATCTTACATCCATTAGTATCACAGGGACTGAACCCATACAGTGATACAAACTAACAACAGAGAATTATTATTATTATTATTAAATAAGGTCGAACCTAAACACCTAGGCATTCTTGTAGCCAGAACAAAAATCATCCCCTAAACAATGTTAAAGTGCAGATGAAAATCCTACCTAATACCGAATTAGAACAAAGCATACAAAAAAAAAAAAAGTGGCAAACCAAAACTGCTGAATATCTTCTCTAGTAAACGGTAGCCAAACGCATAGGAACAAAAAGTATCGTCCTCCTCCTCTAAGCATGCCTGGCTTGGAAGTCCTTCATGAAAGCAACCAATTTCTGAACCCCAGGCAAAGGCATAGCATTGTAAATAGAAGCCCTCATGCCACCAACAGACCTATGCCCCTTTAGCTGAACCATGTTCTCCTTCGCAGCCTCCTTGATAAACTCACCCTCCAGCTCCGATTTCTCCAAGGTGAAGGGCACATTCATCAATGACCTCACAGACTTCTCCACCGGACACTTATAAAACCCGTTGCTCGCATCAATTGCATTATACAAAATCTCAGCTTTCTTCACATTATTCTTCTCAACCTCCCCCAACCCACCTTGCTCCAACAGGTCCTCAAACACCAATCCACACATGTAAATGCCATAGCAAGGCGGGGTGTTGTAGAGAGACCTGTTCTCAGCATGAATCTTGTAATCAAGCATCACAGGAGTCAAACCCTGTGCGTGCCCGATCAGATCATTCCTGATTATCACAATGGTCACACCAGAGGGCCCCACATTCTTCTGTGCACCAGCATAGATGACACCAAACTTTGACACATCGACAGGCTTGGAACAGAAATTTGAAGACATATCAGCAACAAGAACACCATTGGGGTTTGTTGGGGTTGGGTAGTCCTTGTACTCAACCCCGTGAATAGTCTCATTTGAACATATGTGCAAATATTTGGCATCTGGATTCTGCTCCAAACCCTGTAAAGATGGAATCTTGGTGTATTTTTCAGATTTCCCAGACCAAATCACACTGGGTTTGCAGTATTTTTGGGCCTCCTTGAAGGCCTTGTCGCTCCACGAGCCGGTGACGACGTAATCGACGGGCTCTTCGGGGGCGCAGAGATTGAGCGGCACGGCGGCGAACTGGGTGGTGGCTCCACCCTGGAGGAACAAGACGGAGTATTCCGGCGGAATTTGCAACAGGGTGCGTAGATCTGACTCGGCTTTTTCGATGATGGAGGTGAAATCCTTGCCGCGGTGGCTCATCTCCATGACGCTCATGCCGGATCCACGCCAGAGATAGAGCTCGGACTGGGCGCGAAGGAGAACGGTCTCCGGCAGGGTAGCGGGGCCGGCGGCGAAGTTGAAGACGCGCTCTTGGGCCTGGGTCTGGGTCGGGAGGGGGTCCTGCAGCTGGGTGGGCGTGGCTGCGCACTTGATAGGCCTGAAAGTGCGCGGCGAGGGGAGGGAGAGAGTGGTGGTGATGTGGATGCGGTGGTTGGAGAGAAAGTGGTTATGGTTTTGTGGAAGAAGGTGTGAGTGAGGTGAAGTTGAGATTGACATGGTGTACAGTGTTTGTGCAGAGGAAGCAGAGAAAGCAGAATAAGAAGAGAAAGAAGAGGAAATGAAACGAGAACAAGAGTGAGAAGTGAAGAAATTTTAGTGGAAAGTTTTCCTTTTATATTTTGAAGGTGTTTGTTTGTTACTTTGGCAAAGATCTAAATTGCAGAAGGAGGATTCTTCCACTTTTCTTTTTTTGACAATAGGGCTTTGTAAATATCGAAAAGAAACGCAACAATTTAATTATATTCATTTTTAAAACATTATTGCTTTATTAGCGTAAAGATGTAATTACGTTAAAATGAAACTAAAAGATCAAGAATAGGTCATTATAATAATATATGTGATTTTTATTTTGCATACATCATGTTATTTTGCTTTTTTTTCTTTCGTTAGAAAATTTAATTTTGAGTAGAGTTTAAAAGAAAATTTAACGAAGAAAACATTAACTATTCTTTCAAATAAATTTAAATTAACTAAAAACTAAACTTTAAGTTAAAATAATAAAAAATAAAAAGTTTATTTTTAAATTTAACTAAAAATATATTTTTTTAAATATAGAATGAGGTCAAATATTATTTAAATGATTTAAATTACTTAAAAATTTATTATATTTTTAACCAAATTTTAAAATATAAATAATTTTTCATAAAAAAATATTTTTACTTTTTTTCACACATGACCAATAATCTTTATTAAAAGCCTAAAAGGTGTCAACTAAATAATAAACAACTGAAAAAACGTCGTTGTAATTCTAATTGGGGTTGGTGGTGTGCAAAAAACTACGTGGTTTTTTGGACATTGGAAAGAAGGTATTGGTTGGTGTGAAGGGATGACAATTAGGTTGGGATGAATTTGAATTTTTTTCCTTTTAAAAAATTGGGAATGGGAGTAAAAAATGGGTAATACAATTTCATTTTAATTTTTTTTTCTAATTTTATATTTAAATTTAAATTTTAATATATTAATATTTTAAAAATATTTTCTTTTCTTTTTTTATTATATATAAAATTATTTTTTATATTTTAACATTTTTATTTTTCTTTTATCTATTTTTAAATTTTTTTATCTTTTTTAATTTTTATGTTAATTAATTTATTATATTATTTTTTTCAGTTTTCAGTTTTTTACATTTTTTTAATTAATTTTTTTTAATCTTTTCAACTTGATTAACTTAAAATTAATTTTTTTCGTTTTTATTTTTTTAAATATTTTACATAAATATTAATAGTAACTAATATCATTTTATTTATAATTTATATTTATTAAATTTTTTTATGTCATATTTTTTATTTTATTATTTTTATTTGTCATATATTAAATTTTATCTTAATAAAATAATTATATTTTAAAGGATTAAAAGAATTAATAATTTAAATTTTTATTATTTTAAACTAATAAAATAAAAATTAATTTGTTAAATATTTTTTTATAAATTATATATTTTAAATAATAACTTAAAAATAAATTAATTTATATATGTAATCAAATGTTTAAATATAATATAATAATAATAAAAATATAAATATTCAAATATTTAAATATAATAATAATAATAATATTGTAAATATTATATATATATAAATAAAAAATAATTAAATATTTATATATATATATATTTTATATAAATATAATAAATTAAAATATATAATTAATCAATAATAATTATAAATTGTAAAATTATAAATATTTATTTTTATATAAAAAATACATAATAATAAAATTAATTTATTATAAATATAATTATTATTTTTTAAATAATATAAGTTGAGAATATGAATGGGATGAAATAAGGAAATTTGAAATTTAACGAAAATAAAAATAAGAGTAAAAATCAAGGATGATTATAAAGTCGGGAGTAGAAATAAAAAGGTAAAACCCATCCACCCGGTCCCGTTGCCACGCCTACAAGTAGAGGTGTTGGGTTCATATTTGTCTTCGTAGTTTTGTCTTGTCCCTCGTTATACCCACGTGCCGCACATATTTCTCAAAAAATACCATCGAAGATTCCTATAATAAACTGCAATAAAGTACAATTTTAACATTTTTATCTAATTTTTAATATTATACGTGCTCCAGCTTTTATTTTTACATTCAATAAATTAATTTTTATATAATAACATAAATGGATATATTAGATTTAAAATTGAACTGGATCGAACTAAAAGATAAATAAACACACGTAAATTTGAGACTTTCAGTAACATTAGGAGTTTTTTAAAATAGTAAAAATAAAATCATTAGAAAAATAAAAGATACCAAATCAATAATCTAATATATGCACTATAACTCAATAATTATTTTTAAATATATTTATATAAAATAATTGATTAAAAATAATAATTTTTAAATAAAATTTTTAAAAAAATTAATTTAAATTATATTAATAAAATTAATTATTACTTTAAATATCATAATTTAATATAAATTATATAAGAAAATTAATTCACTTTAAAAATAAAAAATAAATATTTAATTATTATTATTATAATTTATTTTTTTAGTAATAATAATAATAATAATTCATTTTAATAATTATATTTTAAAATAAATAGGTATTAAAAATTTATTATTATATTTATATTTAAAATAAGTGATTTATTATAAATAATTTATAATATATATATATATATATTAATAAAATAATATTTTTATTTTTATTTAAAAAATAATTATTATTTTATAAAATAATTTTATCAATAAATTTATAAATTAGTCTAATTTAACTCTATTTAAATAATGATTTATGTAGATAAAAATTAATAACATTCAATTTAGATTATAAATTCTTTTATTAAGTTGACCGGTCTTTTTAATTAACCCGTATATTTGTTTTACATAGAACAAATTTCTAATATATGTAATGTAGTAATTTTTGGACATTTTTTCTTGTTCATTTATTAATGAACCATAAATTTTATCTTATATCTTAATCATGATTTATTTCTGATTTACTATGCTTAGTAGAATGTTTCTAATATATCCAAAACATACTTTTTAATATGTTTTCCTAAAAAACCATATTTTAACCCTTGATTTATGATCATGTACTATTGAACCGTACACTTATTTTATTTATAACACATGAATATCTATTTAGTGAATAACTTGTGTATAATCTCACACTTTATTGTTTTGTGTTTTTTTTTCTATATTAAGAATGTAAAAGTAATTTTAATATATTAAAAGAGTAAATACAATCATTTTGAAAGAAAATATGAAGATTGTCTTTAGTTTTGGCGGAAAAATCATATTCTTTATATTGAGAAATTCATATCATTTTTCAATTATTAAAATAAATATCTATAGTTAATATAAATAAACTAATCCTAGCAAAACTTTTCCAGTGCCATCACCTCATTAGTGGTTTCGTTCATAAGCTTCTAACTTAACTTTTTAAACACAATTATTATTTGAATCTTTCAATTCTATTATATAATTTTTTTCCCAAAAATAATTTTTTTGTAGATAGTAATTTTCATAAATATACAAATTAGGATGAAAAAAAAAATTAGATATGATAGATTCGTTTGTGAGTCTATCTTAATAGTTAGAACTCACCCATTTTATGTTTAAGTCATCAATTTTGCAAACAAGAGTGAACTATTTTTTGAAAAATATTTATATATTGATATTAAAATAAAATAAATTATAATTTAAAATATTATATATTTTTTAATTATATTAGTGAAATATACATATTATAATTTAAACAAAAAATTATTAATTATAATTATATATTTTATAATATATAATGATTTTCTTAATTTATCTAATAAAATATATTTATATAATTAAAATTATTTTTTTAAGAAATAAATTAAAATTGAAAGTGGGTACGCCAAAATGAGATCAACTTACCTATTTTATCACTCTAATTAAACTTTAAGTCATTGAACATAATATTTTCTAAAGTTCCGGAAAAAAAAATTAAACATTGTTCAAATTTTAATATATTAAAAATAAATTATTTATAGAAAAATTTTAAAAGTTTGTTGTCAAGCAGTTTTTCAGAAAGTGTGGAAGATTTAACGAAGTACAATTTTGGAAGCACTAACACACCCTTTAAAAGAAAACCCTATAAAAAAAAAAACTGAAATTATGAGTTTTTTTTTTTTTTTAAAAGAAGTTTCACTGTAATGATACTTGAATAATAATTATGAAAAATCTTTGGAGTGTTGATGAATGTCATTTGTCAGTGAAGTCATTTCTTTGATTGGAAACTAAAATTTCCATGAAGATGATAAGTGCAACCAAACATCTAGGTTCCTGTCACTGCCAAGTCACTATTATGGACAATTCCAAATAATGCAAAGGTTGTGTGTGACCTTCAGGGGATTGGTATACCTATTTGTTTTTCAAACAATTGAATATGGAAAAATATATTTTTAACATGTCAAACTTTTAACACTTTCAAATATGTATTTTCTGGTATATGGATCAAATTTTTAACACTTCAAAAAACTATTTTCAAGAAATGGATTGAAACCTCAACACTTATAGAAATTATTTTCCAGCGAAAGAATATTTCTTAAACAAAATATATAGAAAGTAAGTAGGTTAGTCAAACGTTACATGATAACACTTTATAAAAACGCAGTAAGTGGGTTTCAATATTTAAAATTACAATATAGAAAAGGTCACTAACCAAATCAATCAATTTTTTTTTTATTAATTATCTGTGTGTTGGTGGGAAAAATCGATATATGAATTGAAAATTGAAAAAAGAAATTCGATGACCATGTTGGAGAAAATCGAGAATCTGAATCGAAAATGGATAGGAGAAATTCGATGACCATGTGTTAGAGAAAATCGAGAATGGATAGGAGAAATTTGATGACCATGTGTTAAGAAAAATCGAGAATCTAAATTAAAAATGGATAGGAGAAATTCGATGACCATGTGTTAGGGAAAATCGAGAATCTGAATCGAAAATGGATAAGAAAAATTCGATGACCATGTGTCAGGAAAAATAGAGAATCTGAATCGAAAGAAGATAGAGGAAATTCGATGAACATGATTGGGAATAAAAAATCGATAATAAGTATTGAGTGTGAAGTTAAGTTTGAGAGAAGTCAGAAGCAGTTCAAAGTACTCAATGTCTGGAATCGAGATCGAGGGAAACAATTATGCACATGGGAACATGGGTAGCGTTTCTAAATCGTTCTTAGGTGGTCAGAAGCAGTTTAAAAGTACTCGATGACTGAGGTCAAGATCAAGGGAACAATTAGCGTGCACATGGAAACATGGGTAGCGGTTTCTAAACCGTAGCTGAGGTCGAGATCGAGGGAGAAGTTATCTCGTGCATGAGAACGTGGGATAACAGTTTTTAAACCGCTCTTAGGTGGTTATGTTTGAAGAAGGCTATAAATACAACAAAGCATGAAGAAGGAAGGAGAATTTTCAGAGAGAGCAGAAATCTATTGTACAAGTCTACCGGAGAACGATGAATCATGGAGTTTCTGGCAATCTGAATTTCCACATTTATCGACTTTTGTTACCGCTTTCTTTACTTTCCCTGGTACTTTATCTTTAATGCAATTTAAATTTACATGTATGTACTTTCATATTATTTCAATTCCTTGTCATTTACACTTATGTAATTTAAGATTCTGCATTACATCTTTGTCTCGATATCTTTTACCAATTCCTTGTCATTTACTCTTATGCAATTTAAACTTCTGCATTCATCTTGATATTTTTTGACGTTTTTCTTTACTTTCCCGGTAATTTATCTACTTGCAAGTTAAATTTACTTTTCTGTACTTTCCGGTTATTTCAATTACTTGGTCATTTACTCTTGTACAATTTAACTGTATGTGTTACTTTTTTGCCTTGACATCTTTTTACTGCTTTTTTTACTTTTGTCAATTTTCATATTCTCGAATCTCTTAATAAAAAAATACAAAAAAAGAACTTTCATAAAAAAATACAAGAAAAAGAACTTTCAATTCCAGTCTATATGCTTTTTTATACGTTTTCCAGTGTTTCTAATATTCACGCTTTGTTTTATCGATTTGGCTTAATACTTTCAATTTTCATACATTTTTTTATTTAAAAACTGTTTGCTAACCTAAATAAAAAGAACTTACGGTGGTGGTTGAAATTTGATTAGAACTTAATCTTTAGAAAATTGAAACAACCAAAATTTTCACCAAAAACACTGTATTCATCTACTTTTTTTTTTATATATATAGCAAAGTAACACATTCATGACTATAAGAAAAACTCTTTAAAATGAACTAGGAATTTAGTTAAAAGAAAATAGTTCTTCTTCAAGTTAATCACTTAAAGAAAAATAACTTGTTGGTAATTAATCCAACTGATTGTTCAAAATTTTCTCACTTGTGTATTGTTATACATGTTAATTATCTCGAGAAAACCATTTAAAAAATTAATTTAGTTAAATTTATTACCTGCATACCAATTTTTATATTTTATCATCTTAATATTATAATAGAAACTATTAAAAGACGTTACTTAATTAATATATCTCACCCATGCAAAATTACAGTAATATATATTTGCTCAAACGCCACATCATTGAAAATACAGGATTAATTTCCTTAAAACTTAATTATATTCGTATAACATTTTTTGCATCTTATGATCTCGTAATATTTTCTTTCGTCTTCTTGGTCTTTGTTGTATAAATATAATTTCATACAAAATTCATGTACAAATATAATATCTTAATAGAAAAACTGCAACTTGTGTGGAGTCTACATGTGAACAACTTCTCTAACTATTATTATTATTAAGGACAAATGAGTCTAGAGAAGAAACTGTTAATTAAGTGTATAAGTTGATTTACGCGTTTTCACCACGCTTTACCCATAGCTAGTTTAGACTATTGCTCCGAACAAAGCTTTACCCTTTGTGCCTGATATTGAAGCGTAGTAAATAAAGCTTTCCACACTTCTGCAGAATTGTGCATGCTATATACAGAGATCAACATTTCAATAGTTTGGGGCGAGGTAGGTTTTCACTTTTGTATCGAGCTTTTAAGTTTTTTTATCACATTACGGTTGACCTGATATTACAGTATATCTCCGTCGATGTCTTTTTGACCTTTTTTATCTGTCTAGATCTACTTGCAGAGAGAAGGAAGTTGTGTTGAGGGAGGGGTAGATCCATTTAAGACAGTTTTTGGTCTTGTTTCTGTCAAATGGCATCCCGGTCTTCTTGTCATGCAATAAAACATGATGTGTTCATCAGCTTCAGAGGTACAGACGTCCGCAAAGGTCTGCTTAGCCATTTGAGAAAAGAATTACGTCGCAGGCAGATTGATGTGTATGTGGATGAGAGGCTTGAAAGAGGAGATGAAATCTTACCCTCACTTCTCAGAGCAATTGAAGAATCCCAAATTTCATTGATCATATTCTCAAAAGACTATGCTTCATCCAAGTGCTGCTTGGAAGAGCTTGCCAAAATTATTGACTGCAAGCAAACTAATAAACAGATTGTCCTGTCTGTTTTCTTTAACGTAGATCCATCAGATGTGCGGAACCAGCAGGGAGATTACGGAGATGCTTTCGCCCAACATGAAGAAAAACTGAAGGATAATGGCAAGGTACAACGTTGGAGATCTGCTTTGAGAAAGGCTGGTCGTTTGTCAGGTTTTCACTATCCAACAAATTTTGAGTAAGGTCTTCTCTTTCCTTTTCCTTTTCCTTTTTCCTGTTCATTATTAGTATACGTATCTTTTTCCAAAAATTACTTAGAAAATTAATAGATTTTTTCAAATAAAAAATTAACCAGAAGTTTATACAATTATAACAATTAGTGAATGTATAAATTGACGTAACTCTTTTTTCAGTTTATGCATTATTTCTAGCTCGCTGCGTGAATTTTAACAAAAGATTTAGCCTTCGTTTTCTATTATACAAATTTATAGAATAACTAGCTATGAATATTATCATGATAGCCTTACTAAAATATAATCTAGAAAAATAGAGAAAATAACACTTTATTCTAAAACCATGTAACGTATAGAAACTTTCTCAATATCGACGCTTACTAGGAGGTCCTGACCATCCAACAAATTTATATCAGTGGCACATGAAATCAATTTATTGCATGTCTTTTAACTTCAATTTTGTTTTTTTTTCACAATATTAGGATCAAATCTAGGATATTATTTATTTTAAAATTTTAGTTATTGATGAATTTATTTCAAAGACGTTTCACTATATTGAGAGAAGAAATAATTATGTAAATTATTATTCACTTCGAATAATATGAGATTTATAAATAAACCAAAACATAATTCATAGTCAAGAACTAAAATATAAGAATAGATCAAAATTCCACTTGTCTGTCATCCAGTATACTATAATGAGTGTTAAACAATATTATCTTCCACAAGTATTTCTAAACCTTTAGTTAATAATCTTTTATGTCCTTATGGTTTGAAATATAAACAATATATTCTTGTTACTCTATATGTCTTTTTATCTTTTAAGTCGTCCTTTGTTGGACTCTTATGTGTCTTATTTCCTTCTGTTAGGGATGAATCTGATCTTATTGATAAAATCGTGGAAGACATTGCAGAAAAATTGAGCAAGTTTTATCCAAGTGAAACGTATGGTCTCGTTGCAATTGATCAACATATTGAGAAAATTCAATCCTTGTTGATGAGGGAATCAAATGAAGTTATGTTGGTTGGACTTTGGGGCATGGGTGGCATAGGTAAAACGACCATTGCCCGTGCTATATTTGATAAATATTCTCCTCAATATGATGGTTGTTGCTTCTTGAATGTTAGAGAAGAATTAGAACAACATGGACTGATGAGTCTTTTAAGAGAGAAACTTATAACCGAACTATTGGAGGGAGAAGGTCTTCATTCAAGTGGCATAAGCAAATCAAGATTCTTTAACTCTGCTGGGAGAAGGATGGCTCGAAAAAAAGTTCTCGTTGTGCTTGATGATGCGACTACTTCGGAACATATAAAATATTTGGTGGGTGAATCAATTTGCTTTGGTCGAGGAAGTAGAGTGATCATAACAAGTAGAGATAGTCATGTGCTTACAAGTGGAGGAGTTCATCAAATTCATGAGGTCAAGGAAATGAATACTCGAGATTCTTTCAAACTCTTCTGCTTAAATGCCTTCAATAAAAGCCAACCCAACATGGGATATGAAAAACTAACTGAGGAGGTAGTAAAAATTGCCCAAGGCAATCCATTGGCTTTAAAAGTATTAGGTTCAGATTTCCATTCCAGAAGTATAGAGACATGGGAGTGTGCCTTAAGCAAAATCAATAAATATCCCAATGAGAAAATTCAAAGTGTGTTGAGATTCAGTTATGAAGGACTGCATGAAGTAGAGAAAAAGACATTTCTGGATATTGCATTAATTTTCATAGGAGAAGACAAAGACTATGTCATTAGCCAACTGGATGCTTGGGGATTTCATGGAGCCAGTGGCATAGAGGTTCTCCAAAAAAAAGCTCTGATAACAATTTCTAATGACAATAGAATTCAAATGCATGACTTGATACGACAAATGGGTTGTGAAATAGTTCGTCAAGAATCTATTAAATATCCCGGCAGACGCAGCCGATTGTGGGATAGTGAGGAAGTTTATGATGTATTGAGACATAATCTGGTAAGAGATAGATACCCTCTATATTAGAATTTCTTGTTGTGATTATGAAAGTATTTCTTAATGTTATTATGATTTTTACAGGGAACAGATGAGGTGGAGGCTATGAAAATTGATTTGTCTCAATTTACAGATTTACCTTTGCGTGTAGACACTTTAAAGAATATGCCTGGTCTAAGATTTCTCAAATTATATTACCCGTTGCATATCGAGCTTTCTATGCCGCCTAGCCGTGTTAAAGCAATGTTACTGGTATTGGGATTGTAACATTTTGATTTTATCGTCATCTTATTGATTTTAAGGATTCTTTAATGTTTGTTTTCCTTTTAATGCGACAGGAAATGGTGGATTCAAAGAAAATGAAGCTTGATAGATCCAACAACACGATGGTGGAACTCCCACAATTCTCCATGACAACAAATCTGAAATGTGCAGATCTCAAAATTTGTGATGGTGCCCAGGGTCTTGTGAAGTTATGTTGCACTGACATTAGTAGATCTGAACATGTATTGGAGTGTGAAAGTATGTGTGATGGGCATGCACCTATTTTTTCATTGCAAAAACAAGTTTCGTTGCTTTTATCTGGGTGCCAAGAACTTATGAGTTCTGCAAGCGAGATTCACATAAAATGTCATTACTACTTTCTCATTGATGGCTGCTCTGGCCCGAAGGAATTTTCAATAACCTTAAAGGAAACAAGGCAGTTAAACATAACACGCCCTGGAATGGAAATACTGGACTCATCCATTGGGAACCTCAGCAATCTTAAAGACTCAGATGTGGATGGTCAACAATTGAAGGATCTGCCCAATGACCTACTTTGCTTGAGATCGACCTACTACCTTAAGCTTTCGAAGAACAAAGGACAAAGCACTGGGAAAACCAAGATACATATTCTATGTGATGGGTTACGGTATTATCAACGAATATCTTTCAGAATGTTGTATAACTCACTTCTCTTTGTTCCTTCGAATTTGAGTGTTGTACCATGGTGTCGTGAATTAACAATGGAAGAATGGCGCGCTATGCTTTTGCTGGAGGCACGGCCTTTTGTGCCTAAAATGGCTTTAAGAGTGTTGCATCCTAAGGCATCCCTCATGATAGTTAACCGGTACGAATACGTAGTTTGTGAGATTGGGAGCTACCTCACCATCAGGGATGGCAAAAAAGTTTGTGCAAGCAGATATCCACGGATTAAATTCACAATTGGATACAAAACAGATATCTCTAATGGATATTTAGTTCTCACAGGTGCCGGTGTTTTAACTATAAATTTGTTTATGGGTCGGATAAGAGTATCACGGTATAGTTGTTGATACCTTTTCCTTGTTGTTAGTCACAATTAGATAGAAATAAATATCTCTAATGCATATTTATAAGTACCAAAATTGGTATTTAATTATTAGTTTGTTTATGGGACAGGTACTAATACTATGATATCTATAATGTTGTTAGTCATAAATTGGATACAAAACAAATATCTCTAAGGAATATTTACTAGTTTGAGGTGATTAATTTATTCGGTTTACACTAGTGCAAAAAGGAGGACTTTTACGTCAGGTATTTAGGGCTTTTTACGTCGTATTTAAGACTGACGTTAAAATGGGAGGCGTAAATTTACGTCGGACCCTTTAGCCCGACGTAAATTTACGTTAGTTATCAAAACCCGACGTAATTTTGCGTTGCATATACCACTAAACAGACGTAAAAACTTTCAGAAATTAAAAAAAAAAACAGCAAATTTACGTCACATATTGGTATACGCAACGTAAATTTACGTCACATATACCAATATGCGACGAAATTTACGTCGCATATACCATATGCGACGTAAATTTGTAAATTTGCTGTTTTTTTTAATTGGGTTGATTCTGTTTTACAACTAAAACCTGCAAATATATATTACAACCGAGACAATTCAGTAGGTTCAATTTTCTTTAGCTAGTAAATTAAAAATATAATATTATATAATTCAAACTACATAATAAAACAATATAATACAAACATACAAACTAAAAAATCTATTACAAACTAAAAGTTAATACAAACTAAGCTACCTAAACTACATAATACACACAATATAATATGAACAAGAACTTAAAAAAATATGTACTAGAATTGTTGAACAAAAAATTTTGCCCATTGTTCTCTAATTTGTGTAATATCATATTCTGGTAATGAAGATGAATCTTGAAATACCTGAAACATTAATTTGACTCTTGTAAACATGCAACATGAATAAAGTTAAATAAACTTAACTAATGTTAAAAGCAATTACCTCCGTCCAAGAATCAATTATACCCGCACAAACTATGACTCTCATCCAATACATAACATAGTAACCACATTCAAACGAGTCTCGTTTGCTTATTACATCGAAATGATGAAAAAACATAATGTTATTTTCAAAATTTAAATACAAACAATAATTATGGTATTCACTTATATAAATAAGTTTCTAACCTTAGGATAAATGAACTCGCAAAGTCTTTGTTCTAGGTTTTCCACTTAGAACATTAGTTCCAAACACGATTCTAAGTGCAAAAAGTCATATATTATTCAATATGTATTTACAATTTAAAAACATAATTAATGAATAAAAGATAAAGTTACCCTTGTAATAAGCTTTTCATTTCTTGACTCTGTTTCCGATGTAATGAACAAAACCACACCACAAGTTGTAATCCCGGGTATGATTACAATTAATCGTCAATGGGACCTACATTGTATGACATAAAAATTAGTTACAAAAATATAAATTAAAATATTAACCCTTCAATGTATGAAGCCAAATATATATGTCTTTTTGAGTCACTCCCATCCATGTTTGCATATATTGTTGGATTCCAACCTTTGTATTTCCGCATTTTTGGATGGATTGAGGCTCAATAAATCCGTATACTTCGGATTTTTCTTGTTCCACACTCAATTTGTCAATGTACCTAAAACAATTAATTATAAGTTGAATATAATTATTATAATCTTAGAAACATAAATGAGAATGACTTACATTGCCCACAATTGTATGATGGAAATGTTTAACATGCAATTTCCCCAAGCAATTTCTAAAGCATCTGACAAGGAAATGTATAATGGAACACCGGAATTGTCAATTCCAAACACTCTAACATCCCATTGTATCCGACACTGCCTCTTCCTCAACCGTGGTAATATGGTCAACAACATAGAGATGGGATCATCATCACATTTTGTCAAATCCTCATCAATAATAGGTTGTTTTTTATGCTTAGCACGACGCAAGTCCTCCTAAACAAATGATAACAATTAATTAAACATTTATATAATTATAATACTAGAAAAGAGAAAATAGACAATATATATATATATATATATATATATATATATATATTACCTTGGTCTCGTGCCGATAGTGGCATAACCAAACGTCTTGGCCAAGCCAAGAATGTCCCGCTTGCCTCGCCCCACTAATTGAATCTCTTCATTAGGAAAAGACACTCGGAGCATTAGCATCATGAACTTCATCAACTACTACTCGTGTCCAAGCCTGCTCGTAGAGGGACACCATGGATGGTTAAACCACCCTCAAAAACTCAACCAATAACCACTAGACGCGGGGTCATCTTCAACATATAACTCACACCGGTGTGATGCATCAGCTCGAGTATATTCTCCTGAAGGATCACAGCAGCAGCAGCAAGACAAACTCCCTTTAGTGCCGACTCGAACAACATCATGTTCAATTGTTTGAGGTGTTCCTTGAGTCTCGTTGCCGAGAGCGGGCGAGAGATTCAATTTTCTCATCAAACTCTTGCCGCAAGGACTACCTTATTTGATTTAACTTTTCTTCAAACCGCATCTCCATTTTATGCAAGGCCTCCTGGCCGCAAGAGTCGAGAGTGGTCCTTCGTGATGTTGGACCAAAGTAATCACGAAGGCCCTAGGATCCACCAAGACCACGCACACGTCCCGAGTAATCTGGTTTTCCTATGGCCGTCGCCAATATATCTTGTCGACCATGAGGAATAAATGATCTTTGGGTGTTCTCGCTCAACTAAAGCATCCTACAACACATTAACAATAATTAAGTCATACACTAACTTTCACATTAGAATCAATTCAAATTGACATTATAACTTACGATTTTCTCGAGCAATGATTCGTGCGTACTCGAAGTCATTTGTCCATCGATTTTGTCCGGCTGCCTTCCACATCTCATAGCGAGGGGTGGAGATGCAAGGTCGAGACACTCAACTCCCGCCGACTCTTCTCTCGACTTTCATGAGACGTTGCTCCAATAATGCATACCCTCCTCATGACAATACATGGGGTGCATCATTCAACCTCTCGACGTTGTTGGGCAACACGCCTTTTATCCTGCCAAGAGGGGTCCATTCGGCTGGCACAAAATTGTAACCAATCCTCCTCACTAATTTGATACTTTAGACAGGGAGATTCATCTTGAAACTTTCCAAAAACATACTCACATGTCAAGAAAGTCTTAAAGTCCCTCCATCTAATGGCAATGGAGGATAAAATCTTCTTCCTCATCACCTCAGTGTTAGGAACATCAAAATTTTGTCGTGAAATGACCAATAAATGTTAAATTCAATTAATAATGATATATAAAGTATTCAACAAATATAGAAATACCCGAACATCCCGCCACATGAGGTTCTTCTCGCTTCCTCTACATCATCCTAAGATGGAGTAGTAATCGAACATGGTGTCGAGCTAGTAGTCCCAAATAGCTCTTAAACTTAGCAGCATTTGGGCCAGATGCCTTACCAGAACGTGGATCAACTTCAACTTGAGTTTTCTCTCCAGCTACCCTCCTTACTGTCAACCCCTTTAACCGAGTGACAGATCTACCTTTACCTCCACTTCCGCTCCTGCCACTGTCATTATCACTACCTAGATGTGGAATCCGACATATCCTGAAAAACAAAACAATATGAAGTCAACATACTTTATAAGTTTGAATAAAAAGAACTAGAAAATGTGAAGATAAACACCTATTATATTGGTATGTTTTCTCATATCCCTTCATCATGATCACTTCGAATTGCATGTATGTCATCAACTTCATTGTCAACTATGTCATCAAATGGTCTACCTGAAAATGAAGGTGTTTCATGTATATCTAGAGACTCATCTTCATGAATTTCGTGCATGCTTCTTCCTTCAAGGACAATTGACCATCTCTCATTACATGGATCATTGACATAAAATATTTGTCTCGCTTGATATGCCAAAATAAAAGGTTCATCCTTATACCCAACTTTACTCAAATCAACCAAAGTAAATCCTAGGTCATCTGTTCGCACACCCGTATTCCCTTCAACCCATTTACATTTGAAGACAGGCACCCTAAAAGTAACATAATGAATTTCCCATATCTCTTGTATGACCCCAAAATAACTCATAGAAGCTGTGATAGGATTTTTGTCTTTAGAACTAGAAAAATGCATAGATTCAGCTTGAATTGTGACCCCACTATTTTGTACTCTACCTTTATCATCTTCTATTTTTTAGTAGAAACAATAATTATTAATGTCATACCCACCAAATGTAATGACATCACTATTAGGCCCACGAGCAAGTCTCAAAAGTGTTTCTGAAACATTAATCTCAACATATACCCTTTTTTTAAACCAAGAAAGGAAACTTTTGTTATGTTCATTCAATACCCATTTTTCATTCATTCGTGGATGTGTTGCCTTTATTTCAGTTATGTGTTGTGATATGTAAGGGATTACTTCATCAGTGTTGTTCAATATGTATAAATGTGTTTGGTCAACTTCTTTCTGACTAACATTTTTAATCTTTAAATTTCGAGTACCCTTACCTTCACATCTTCCATCATGTCTCATTTTAGGAATACCTATTGATTCTGATTTTGACTTGTATCCTAAACAAAACTCAATGACTTCTTCTGCAATGTACCTTTCCACAATAGAAGCTTCTGGCCTGTACTGATTCTTCACATATCCTTTTAAGATCTTCATGTATCTCTCAACAGGATACATCCATCTAAGAAAAATTGGACCACATAACCGAATTTCCCTTACCAAATGGACTATCAAATGCACCATGATATCAAAAAATGAAGGGGGAAAATACATTTCTAACTGGCACACTATTACAATTGCTTCATTTTCTAATTCATCTAACTTTTTTGGATCAATTACCTTTTTACAAATGGCGTTGAAAAACAAACATAACCGAGTAATAGCAATTCTAACAGAAGTTGGTAAGATGTTTCGAATAGCCACTGGTAAAAGTTGTTGCATCAACACATGACAATCATGAGACTTTAAACCAACTAATTTCAAGA